CCCCGCCCTCTTGTGCCACTTGAGAACGCGAATATTCCAAGAGGATTTCCATCCTCTTACTCTCTTCCCTCTTTCCATCCGAATCGTCCTCGATTCGCACCGTAGCTTGTCATCCTCCCATGCAGCGTGTTGTTGCCGTTCTTCCGCTGCCACAGGTTGTTCTTGGGCTGCTATCTCTCTGATCTCTTCAATACTCATTCTGCTCACTCCGTAGTCTTCCGTCGCGCCACAGGTGTTCAAAGTCTCGGAAGTTGATCCACAGTCGCTCGGGTCTTCTGTCGTCAGGTCGATCTCCCAGACGTTCCACTTCGAATTCCAGTATGTAACGCCCTGTACGGCATCGGTACCTTCGCCTTCTACGCTCCACCACGGTGTCGTTAGGCCCAATTCTGGCAAGTCGTGAGTGTGTAGATACGAGGCTATCAACTCCTCGATGACCTCTACCGGCAAAGACATAGATCCTCGGCTCTTCATCCTCTTCGTGGGCGACTCGTCGGAGTTCTCGTTCCAGTTCCTCGAGCTCGTGCTGCTCTCGTCGCCGTACATGTCCTCCGCTGGCCTCTTGAGCCCTTGGCTCACCGGTACGTTGGCTGTCGCCGCTGCTTTTGCTTGCAACTCCTCTGCCATCCTCAGGGCCACTCTCACCTTCCGATCCCACAGGTACTGTTCCCGTCTCTTTTGCTCCAGCGCCTCCGGAGACTTCTTTCCCGTGTCCGTCGGCGTCCTCGCGTTCCGTTCCGCGGTAGGGAGCCCGTCGAATCTTGGAGCGGGTTCTGCTGGCGATGTTGCCGTCTGCTTCCTCGTGCTCCGTTCGATGTCTGTCACTCGGCTGCTGTCGCCTGCCGTCTGCCACTGCACGCACTGGTTCTTCTTCGGGTTCGTACTGCTCGTCGATGCCTGCTGGTTCATCGTCACTCTCGGTCTTCGGCTCGGCGTCGGGTTGGACACGCGCTTCAGCTGGTAAATCCGCAAATGTCACTACAGGGGTTCGCTCCACCTCTGCTCGTCGTGTTCCATCAGTCTGCTTCTCTCTCACTCTTATTTGCGCCTCAGAACTGCCTTCCTCATCTAAGTCGATGTCCGCGGCTGCAATCGCCTCTTCTCTCAGGTTCAACGCCATGTCCTGGGCCATCTTCTCCATCAGGCGAGTCGGATAGTAATAACTCAACAGGAATGAACAGTGGATCACTAACTCCTGTCCTGATTCCAGCATCTGCACCAGGTAATTGTCATAACCAGCTGCCTCTACGATCTTCCCAGGTCCTCGCCATCGGTGCCCGAACTTTGTGATTCCTGGGCCCTTCGCTGGGCAGTAGATCCACACAAGTTGTCCAGTCTGAAAATTTCTTCCCTTGCCGTACGTTCCGTTGGTTGTAGTACATTGCTTGTCTCGCTTGCTCCTTCTCCAACGCCGTCGCCGCTAACTCTTGTGCTTTCTTCAGGTTTTGCATCAGGACTTCATGATACTCGTCCAGCGTGCTGTGTGGAAACTCCAGTCTACTTCTGCGTAGCAACTCTGCTGGGGTACGTAGCTTCCTCCCCATCATCAGTTTATTTGGCTGATAGCCGTGTGTAGTGTGTCTCGACGAGTTGTAGGCGTACAACGCGCTCGGCAAGAAATCATCCCAATCATCCTGCTGCTCGTCCACGTACAGACTGATCATGTCCTTCCACGTCCGGTGGAATCTCTCAACAAGTCCCAGCAAATTCGGTCGGTACGGTACCGGTGTTGACTGCTTTGTTTGCATCAGCTCTAACAGCTCCGCTGTCACTTTACTGCCAAACTCTCTAGCTCCGTCCATCATTATCTCGCGCATCGGTCCAAACACCAAGACAACTTTCTCCATCAGAAATCGAGCGATCGCCTTTGACGTACGATCCTTCACTGCCACTGCCACCGCGTATCGAGTTGTGTATTCCACGGCCGCAATGACGAATCGATTGCCTTCTGCTGTCTCCGGCAACGGACCCGCAACGTCAATAGCCCAACGATCTCCTCCTGCTCCGGTTTTCACGCTCCGCAATGGTGGTACCACGGCTTTAGGTCTAGCCTTTTTCGACCCGCAGTCTTGACACGCAGAAACCCAATTCTGCACGGCTTCGCGCATCTGTGGCCACCAATACATTCGCTGCAACCTCTCCATCGTCTGTGGTCCTCTCAAGTGTCCAGCCCAGATACTATCGTGAGCCTCCTTGAATGCCAACGCCCAGTAAATAGTCGGCAATATGATCCGGCTACCTCCATGCTTCAACTCCACTCGTACAAGTCCATCGTCGTCGACAAACACACGCTGTCCACGGTAAGTTTCTTTCTCCTTCAGGGTATTCACCATCACTGACTTGCTTTGTT